ATGCTGCTTCTCTTCCCACGTCACACATTCTCTTACAATGGGTATGTTCCGTCCTAGGGCATCTGCTAGTTGCCTGTGCTCAGATCTGTATCTGTAGCCCAGAACTTTCCTCTGAGTTTTAGACTCATGTCCCCAACCACATTCTGGACCTGCCCTCCTGTATGAGCAGAGTTCTGTACCCTCACCCTCTCTCTCTTTATCCGTAGAACTTCCTCCACAGCTGGCGGAAGGCCTTCCCTCTGTGTCATCCCTTGGGAGTCATCCCGGAGGCTCTGCATCTCTGTCTTCTCACACACCATCTCAGTCATCAAGTCTGACTGATTTTACCTGTTCTATCTCTCTGACACCCTTTCTTCCTTTTCCACTTTTTTGTTCCACTCTCTCATTTGAGGCCCTCTGTCTCTCTTGTCTGCACCACTGCAACAACTGGACAGTTGGTTCCCCGCTTCCAGTCTTGTTCTTTTCAAATCCACCTTCTGTTAATTTGCAGAGTGATAAATCTAAACGTGAAGTTGGCGTATCACCCCCCTTGCTTGACACCTGCTGGAGACTCACATCACTGAAAGTCGCTTTCCTGACATGGCACACACCCACTGTGATCTGGCTGTCTCGTCTTCTCAACATCCATCAGTCCCTGTCCCATCACGGTACTCCAGGAACTGCCTACATTTCTCCCAGCTCACCTTAGTGTTTCTCATTTTTAGAAGTAGATGGTTAGATCTGGGCTGCCTTCTGTCCAGGAAATCCAAGAATACAACCGTGTCCCTCCCAATGGAGCTCCCAGGGCAGAGAGATGCTCAGGAAATAACGGCGAATGGGAAATCCCATCATCTCTTTATTGCTGGCTGGGGCTGGGGCCTCAAATCCAGTGCAGACCAAGTGGTCAGGCTGGGAGACTGTGACACTTTGGGCAAATTCTTTAGCCATTCTGCACCTCAGTTTCCTTATCTGTAAAATGGGGATAATAGTTGTATCTACCGCATGAGGTTATTGTGAGACTTACAGGAATTAATCCATACAAAACACTTAGACCTATCTGGTGTATGGTATCTATCAGTAAATGTTAGCTAAAATAGTAATAATTATTATCTTAGATTGCATTGCTTAATAACTCCAGTGCAACACTGGACAGTAGGCAAGACAGTGCATCCCCTGCCTTGTTTTTGATTCACTTTCTTTTTTGACCACAGGAAGAACTTGATGTTTTGTTTCACAGGAACTATGCTACTGTTGCCTGCTTATATCTTCCTCCTAAGTCTTGGCCAGACTCCAGCCTGGAAGCTCACAATAAATAACTTCCCTTTTGAGATCTAGCATCATTTGCTATCTGCAAGTGTCTGACTTAGAAACCAAGTTTTATGATTTAGTTTGCCTAGATAGCATTTAATCTTTGCAGCTGATATCTAAGTCCAAAAACTCGTGTGTATTGAGAGAATCATGAATCTCTTTCATTCGTCATTGTATCCCCGGGTGAGAGGACAGTGCCTGACTCACAGTAAGAGTCAGTAAATAATACGCTTCATGCATGAAATCTCAAGACCTGCGATATTAATAATGCAGTCAGACTATGTCTGGCAGTGGGCTTGGGGATACCATCCGCCCTTTCTTCCTCCTCTGTCTCCTGCCCTGCGACAGCCCCAGCAGACTTCCCTGCTGAAATGTGGCAACGCCTCACCGGTCCAAACTTGTTTTGTTTGAAGGGCCCAGATGTGGCTCAGTTACCACAATTACAGAGAGAAGATCCCAAGTAGAAGTTAGGTGGTGACAGATTTCATGTAAAGATTAGGATGGGTGTAAGGAAGTAGAAGACTAAGAAGGAAAGAAACAGAGAGGTTTATCTTCCTAAACCCCAGAGCTGTTGAGCAGTGCAAGGGGCTGCTGTGGGTTTCGACCTCCCCTGCGTCTAACAGAGGCTGAGATCACAGCCTGTCAGAGGCTACAGAAGAATATTCCCTTATGGAGGGAAGATAGGGCAAAGTGAGTCTTTGAAAGTGTCCCTTCCAACTTCAAGAATTGAAGATTTTGATAGAAATTGTTAGCTCAGAGACCAATGTCTCATTTGGGCTCACTGGTACGTTTTTTGCCTATCTGCTCATGTTTTGGAAGTTTTTCTCCACATTAGCCATTCTACCAAGGATCGGGCACGGGGAACAAAAGGAGCTGAACTCTCATGAGGCGTTTACCTGCTTTGCCACGAGAAGGATGAAATTGGCTCTCGAGCCTGAAGTTCGGTTTGCAGGACCGTTTCTCACTTTAGCTGCCCTTTCCTGCCTCTTGTGCCACTGACCACCCAGTGTGGGCAGTGGAGCATTTCAGCTGTTCTTTTTGATTCCTGTGTAAATGCTAATGTTCCAAAAATAAAATTTCATTATATTTGCTTATTTAGAGATGAAAGAACTTGAAAATATTGTAGCTTTTATTTTAACTTTGCAAATAATCATATATTGGCTTTTAGACCTCTTAGTTGCTGCTCAGTAGACAGATGAGAGAGCCTGACTAATTTTTGCCTTTGTCCCAGGTCCTTTTGCTTAATAAACCCATGTGGGCCAAACTGCAGGGTTCTCTTACATGAAGGACTAATGTAGCACAAGTCATCCTGGGACCAAAGGGTGGCCTTGAAGTAGGGTGGATTCCCCTGGGAATGGTTCAGGGCAGGATGGGTCATCAGATTAACTTCCCTGTGTCCTCCTCTCTGAGAACAGCCCTCCTGGGAGTGACAGCATCTCCTTTATAGGACAGGACGGCACCTTTCCCTTTGCTGGAGTGACAGATGGAGAGGAGCAGGGGCAGTTTCTGCAAAGGTTTCCACAGAAGCCCAGGCAAGACTCAATAATTAGTTGACTAGTAAGAGAGAAGGAAAAGTCTAGGATGACGCTCAGGTTTCTGTCTTTGGGTGATTAGCTGGTTTTGCAGAAAGATAGTGAGTCTGGAATTGTGTGTGTTTATTTTGAGGTGCCCACAGAGCATCCCTGTAGAGACACCTGGGAAACAGTTGAAAATTCCTATCCGTGGTTTGGCAGAGCCCCCAACTGGAGATATATCAACATGTAAAAATGACTTTTGGAACCACGGCAGAACAATACAGGCTCAAGGACAGAACCTTGGAGAAAGCCGGCGTTTCACACCGGGCCCGGGATGCAGAGCTAGTAAAATAAACCGAGAAAGTTCAGAGCCCGGGAAGGAGAACCTGGTAATAAGTGATGTCACCATGTCACAGATGTCACAGTGGGAGGTGGCAGCCAGCTAAAGGAGCTGGGGAGGGAGTGGGTATGAGGTCTGAGAAGAGAGTGCTGCCCGCACCTGCAGGAGTGCTTTGCCTGGGAGACCTGGAGGCCTGAGAAGGGAGGTGCAAACGGGGAGGCTGTGGAGGTGTGTAGGAACTGCTCTTGAGGAGGGCGCGATGGGCGGGGCCTGAGAGCGAGGAGTGCAGTGACAGAAACAAGGACGAGGGAGCTGGTTTTCTCTTCATTTTCTTCCCTCCCTCCTCTCTCTCTCTCAATGGGAAGACTTCAGCACATCTGTAGACTTGACAGGGAGAAACCATCGAAAGGGGACTGATTAAAGCATCAGAGAAGAGAGGACGTTCCCCCTACTTGTGGGTGCATTTGCCTTCAGAGACCCACTTAGCTCCTCTAGGTGAGAGTGGTGAAAGACTGATGCAGTGGACAGTTGAGGAGTCAGGGCGGGTTTTGGGGTTTTAATAGACACAGTGTTACATGAGCTCCCACAGGCACAGCAAGAATTGTGACCAGTTGCTAATAAAAACAATAAGAAATGCTTTCTATGGCATCTTCGATATCAGTTTATGTTATATCATTTAATTTTCACAACAACCTTACAGGTAGTATTATTGTCCCCATTTTACTGGTGAGAAGTTCAGTCTCAGAGAAGTGTCACTACTTGTCTGAGATGCCATTGCTGGTCAGTGCCAGTGCCGGTGCACTTGCTCCATCTGAATGCCCTGCACCCTGAGTGTGGCTGCCATTGTGGGCTGCTCCGTGCTCTTCCGTTCCTGCTGGGTCAGGAAGCTGCTTGTGTTACGAGATGGGCCCTGAAAGCAGAAGTGGGATTTGTGTAGCACTCTGCTGTCCAGTGGATCAGCACATGGTTCAGAAGGACGTTTTAATATTGTCCCGACCAGGAGTAAGGGCGTGGGATATGACAGTGCTCTGGACGTACATTCTCCACCCAGCCGATGGCCAGGCCTCACTGGGCTCCCCAAGAAGTCTGAGCAGGCACCCTTTTCCCCCTCGCCACTCTTTGTGAGTCCCCAAGCAGTATGCAAGATGGCACTCAGGGCTGCACCACCCTTAACCTGGAAGTGCCTTGTCTTGCCCAGCTAGAAATAGATTTACTGGAAATAGATTTTACTAGGCAGATCTCCCTCATGGTGGACAACGATGGATTGACCCTTCTGTATATGCAAGTGCTTGCAGGTAAATATGGTGGAGGAAATCATTTAGCAAAGAAGCAACTAGATCAGGGAATTAATTGCAAGGGGAGCTACTTTGAAAGACATTCACTTAAAAAAAATAAAAGTGATAGACTACTGTATTGCTTTTTTTTTTTAATTTTTTTCTTGAACAAGAACTATAAATTTCTATGAAAGAAAAGAAATGAAACCAACCTCATTAGGCAGAGACAACTCCTACTCTAGGGACACCTTCCCCAGCTACTTGGTTGGTTCCTGCAAAGGCAGGACTGAACATGCTGAGGTTGCGTTTTTCCCTAGAGCTTATCCCAAAGGGACGGCTTGCTCATCCCTGGCCACTTGGCTGGTCCCTGCAGAGGCAGGACTCAACATCCTGAGGTCATGTTTTTCCCTAAAACATGTCCCCAGGGGACGGCCTGCTTATCCCAGGCTTTCAGGGTATCAGATGCTCACAGACAGAAGAGTATCGATGGAGGACATTTGAGGCGAGTTGTGTCTCTTCCTTTTCTTTTGGGCTTGCCCTCGCCCGGGGCTCCCCTTCCCTAACCCCTCCTCCTTGTCTCTACAGCCTTTCCGCTGCGCCCATTGCCATTACTCGTGTAACATATCTGGCTCTCTGAAGCGACACTACAACAGGAAGCACCCCAATGAGGAATACGCCAACGTGGGCACCGGGGAGCTAGCGGCCGACGCGCTCATCCAGCAAGGTAGGTGGGCCTGCTAGTTTCCTGCTAGGCCAAGTCCCCGATGAGAAGAGCTGTGACATCCTACAGTTCAATCCTAATCCCTGAACGTTTAGTTTTGTTAGTTCTTCATCATCATTATTGTTGTCATCATCTTCCTCCTCACTGTCATGTATCAGCATCACTTATTGCCAAGATTATATTAGAGCAACCTTAATGGAAATGTAAAATGAAAAAGGTAATAATTTACCCACAAATTTTACCAGCCTCCCCATAATGTTCATTTATCAGGATTGCCTTCTGTTCTTTGTCCGTGCATCCATTTTGCATAAATGAAAGTTCGTGGCTTACTTTCTTTACTTGACATTGATTACCATAAACGTTTTGTTTTCCTTTGGTACACTGTCTTCTTAATTACAATTTCTAAGGGCTTTTTATAATACATCATCAAGTGGAAGCACCTCATTTTATTTAACCGTGCTCCTGTTGTTGAAATTGTGGAGTTTCCAGATTTTTCTTTTATTGCAATTATAAATAATGTGATGGTAAACGTATTTATAGGTGAGCTGCTTTAGATTATACAAAAATATTTATTGAGTGCTCAGATTACTTATTCATCCTGAAAGGGAAAAACCATTTAGAACATTTAAACTAAGGAGAATGGATGAAAACCTCTAATATTATTGAAGAGTTTGAGGGTTTTTTTGTTTTTTTCAATAAATAATCACATATTCCCACTTGAGAGGGTTTAGCTCATGTGCTGTTGCCATATGGAGAAATGCAGTTGTGTTTATATTTGTACTGTAGTAATTCAACTAAAAAATGGTTACTGCTTACAGTATGTCAGTTCCTACTCTTTCTTGAGTCCTGTGACTGTTTGAAGCTGAAGACAGTTTTAGGAACCTGCCTCTGGTAGACAGAGATGTGGAATGGTAAACTTGGCTGCAGCTGAGGATGCTCCAAGTTTCCTGGTGCGGCATGAAGCTCTGCTTGCTGTGACTGCCATGAAATGCATCTTCACGTAAAACAAATGAGTTAACCGTATCCTTCAGCGCTGTCAGTGACAGGGCTGCTGTTTGCAAATAGATGAACAGCATGAAGGACTCAGGATAATTTTAAAGCATCCATCTGGGCTAACGGGGAGCGTGTGCCTAGTGTTGCCTTTAATGGCAGTTTCCTAGTTCCATGGAGCTGGAGAGCAGGATGTACAGTGGGGGGTCCTGGCTCAAACCTGTATGCTGCTTGTGTAGCTGTGCCACTTGGGCATGTTACCGACCCTCTCCACCTCAGGCCCTTCACCTAAGAGCGGAGTTCATAGCAGCCATCTCACGCGCTGAGAGAATACGTGGGTGTCTGGCACTCAATACGTTTTCATTCCTTTCTTTTGTATTTTTTTTTCTGAAAATATCTAAGACCTCTAGAGCCATTGCATCATTTTTGACAACACCCCCGTCCAGTAATCACAGAGGGGAGAAGGATTGCCTTGGAGTCACAGTAAATCACTGGAATAGTGGGCTAAAATTTGTTTTAGCATCCTTCACACTCTCGGATTGGGTTAGCAGAGAATAGACATTTACTGTGGCTGTTGGGACAGGCGTGGAGATCTGATTGATGATGCTGTCATTGCTCTGTGCTTCCAAACTTTCACCATTGCCTTGCAAAGAATGTTCTGAGGTCGAACTGTTTCATGCCCTAACTTTTCAGTTAACATTCTAAGACTCTCCATTATTGATTGGCCTTCCCTGGCAGGGTCTGGGTTTTATCTTTAACCTTTGCAGGGGTATTTTTGATCTTCTTTATATATTATGAATTTCCTATGCCCTCTTCAAGGGGCATGTTGAAGAAGGAAACAACTAAATGTCTCCTGGCTCTTAAGAGACATTGTGCCATTGTGTTTTGGTGGGAGGACAGTCTCTGAAATCAGATAGCTGGTTGAATATGAGCCCAGCTTAGAAATCTCAAGAGCACAAAGCTCGCACTGTGCTTATGTCTGGACAGGGAAGCGGAATGGAGGGAGAAAGTGGAACTGGATAAAATTGCTGTGTTTGGAAATGCTGAGTCATCTGTTACCACTGGAATTTTTCATTTTCTTTTGATTAATTTCAAGTAATTCTCCCCCTTCCCACTTGGTTTTATTTTCCTCTTCTGCTCACTCATCAAAAAATAACTTCATGGGACTTTATAATTTCTTGTTTTGATATAGAGGGATATGTGTTAAAATGATAACATAATTTAAAAAACATGAATAAAATGTAGTTTTCTCAAAATAACAATACAGTCTCCTTAACCCAAGTGCAAGGACTTCTTGTCCGTCACCTCTGTTTAAACGATGTCATGCTGTGACACAGGCAAAGCCATCAGTTGTTGGAAAAGATTCTCCTGCCCACCATGCTCCGGGCTTTGAGGAGGGTGTCAGTGCACAGTGCTGTAGAGGAGGGAGGGAAGAAGGCCAGAAGGCTGAGGTGTTCCCGGATCAGACATTTCTGTTCCTGGTAGGTTTCTGAGGGAAGGGACCATCGTGTTTTCCATGGCGCTTGGGTTATTTTCAGTGTGCTCCAAAAGGCCCCTGGAATGAGGGCTGCTCAGGCATCCACTGAGTGTTCTGTAAGTGTTTAACAGCTGGCTCTCCCGGGGTGGGAGGGGAACAGGGGGTGAAGGGACTGATTTGTAGCCTCTGCCAATTTCTGTGGTGTAAATATTTCCACCATGGCCAATTCTAAGCTACTGACGTGATGTCACTGAACTGGGAAGAGATGTGAGCCGGTTGAAGCCAGCTCCAGCACAGCTCCGGTCCTGAGGGCACAGGGGTGACAGTGCCAGCAACGTGCCAGCTGGGTCCCTTCAGGATGTACCAGTTCCCTCAGAACTCTGGATACTTTTTGGCAATTAGACTTGCACTGAATGCTATGTAAATGTTTTATTCCCTGTTTATATTTTACGTACTTCTGATATTGTGAAGGCAGATTGGACAATCTCTTATCTATTCTTCTCAGCCCATCACTTGTTCATTAATATGGATTTGAGGCATTTTCCTGCGGAAATACACATTTTCATGTTGTATTGCTTCAGTGGGCCTGCCCCTTTCCTCCCCTTAAAATACGCCTGATGGAGCTAGCTCAAGAGCTGGTCCACTAAACCACAGGTTGTGAGAGGCGTAAGCAGCTTTGGTGCTAAGCTTCAAAATTATTAGCTCACTCCTGGAGCTCACAGCGGGATAAAGAGGGGACTTAGCAGGCTGGTCATTTTCCAGTGACCTCAAGGCACTCCTTCATGTCGCTCCAGGTTATTGGCACAAGCACGGGGGTGGGAGTACGATGGTCTCTGATCACTGTGGCCCTTGGACCAGTTACTTAACTTCTCTGAACGTCAGGGTGCACATCTTCAGAGAAGAGGGGCTGAAACCTGCCCAACGGTCATGCAAAGATTAGATGTTATTCTCTCAGATTCCAGACCGTGCCTGATGTGTGATGAATGATTCATGGCTTGATGAATGGTTCAAATTTACTGTCATGTTTATTCCCATATTCCTTCGTTACCACGTATCTCTTGAGCTCCTTGTGTGCCCAACACTGTGCTAGGCGCTGGGATGTGGTGGCATTTATTATTATTACTGCCTGGACTGGAGACGTAGGCTGGGCGGCTCCGCCATGCCTCCATGTTTTGCGTATTTTGACTACAACAGAAAGTATGCAGGGCCGGCCCCGTGGCTTAGTGGTTAAGTATGCGCGCTCCGCTACTGGCGGCCCGGGTTCAGATCCCAGGCGCGCACCGACGCACCGCTTCTCTGGCCATGCTGAGGCCGCGTCCCACATACAGCAACTAGAAGGATGTGCAGCTATGACATAGAGCTATCTACTGGGGCTTTGGGGGAAAAAAAAAGAATTAAAGGAAAGTATGCGTTGCTTTCAACAGTACACATGTTGCTCATGGGAGGAGAATTAGCTGCTTCTCCCAGATGCTGACCCTTCTCTCAGGCTCCTGATTTTAGAGGATCATTGAGACAAGAGAAACAATGAGAGGGAGGGGGTCAAGGAGAAGGCTTGGTTTGTGGCATCTGCTAAAATCTTTGCATTATTTTGAACTACTGTATTAGGAGAATGTCAGTATATGTACATATGTACCTTGGATGTATATTCATATCTTAGTTTTTCGCATCAGATTCAGGGAAAATAGTATAGAAGAAAATCCAGAAACTGTCAGGTAACACAAAAGTCATTCGTCTGATTTTTGACGTTTTTACTTTAAAATTGTTTTTATTAGGACCTAGATTCCGTACATTATTGGTAGATGCTTCCAGTGATGTGATTTTATGCTCTGTTATTGGTTATTATTCTGTATGTTAATTTCTCTCTCACAAAGGCCCTGTGAGGTTAGCATCATCATTCCTATTTTAAAATGAGGAAATGCTGGGAGGGAAAAATGACCAGCTCAGGCCACAGGGTGAGCAGGTGGCTGAGCCCAACCTGGCTCCAGATTCAGAGTCTGGTTTCTCAGCACTGATGGGCTGGTATCCCTGACGTTTGTCTCCAGTTTGCCCTTGTTAAAGAGGAGGAGGAGGCATGGTGCTATGCTAGGATGCCAATAGGTTCACTTTGCTAGCGGACCCATGATAATGTGTTGAGAGGTTACACACACATCGGGGGCTGTGGACTTTCTCTCATTTCTTTGTCTCATTTCTTTGTCTTGTTGTTAATCTGACCCGAGGCTGACTCTGGGATCTCTCTCACTTTGCACCACTTCCCTGTGGTTGTCCAGAGGATCTCAGATCCTAAGATTTGCGGGAGTATGTGATGGGACCAAGAGGGATGGTGGAGACCTTGTTTAGGCTCTGTTTGCCAAGTGGTCCTCATGGGGGTTCAGGACATTGGCCTGGCTAATAATGAAATGCACCATGTTTTCCTTCTGCTGAGTTTTCCTTTACACTGTTTTTTGGGGGATCTTGTGGGAAGGGGGCTGGAGTTGAGACAGGATTCAGATATCCTTGGGTCCATAGCCAGATATTACCTAACAGCGTGCACGTCACC